TGTCCCGCGCAAGTCCTAGGATTGCCTCTGCCCAGGGGAAGAACGATATTCCATACCCCAAGGAAATGCGGCAATTGAGAACTGGTTTCTTGAATGTCGAGAACATCTTCGGCAAAGCTTCCGTTTTACAATACACCTTCCGTTTTCCTCTTAGTGTCCTTCCCCGAACTGAGGTCATGGTGCGTCGCCCCGTTGAGTGAAGGTTCTTCAATCACCCTGCGCATCAACGACCCTGCGCACGGCCGAAACTCGGGTCCGTTCGGATTCGTTTTGATTTTCAGCCGGCTGAAAACACACCAGTCTGGACTTGCTTCTACTAGCGTGGCACTTGTTACTACTAGTAAGGCACCTGTTACCACTAGCGATGCACTTGTTACTACCAGTCTGGAGATGGAATTTGGGGCGTGAACAATTCTTTCTTCCACTCAGACCTGCTGATATTCTACATCCGATTTGATACGGATTCCCCCTCTGAAAGGACCGATTTTGGATGGACATATATTCAAACGGAGTGATTGTTTTTTGATGTTTTTTGAGGCACCTCTCGTGTTTGTACAAACCCGAGCGCATCTAGCTCTTGACGTCTCACCGTCAGCCTTTTGGTGCACAAAGAGTCTGGATGCGATTTCGCTCGTAGATCGCTCTTGGGACTTCTGAGACTTCCACAAACATCAAAGTCTTTGATTTGCGGTCCAAAACGATCCACGCGACCCATTCAACGGTTGGCTAAGTGGGCCTCCCTAAGTGAGCCTTTTGGTATCCACCAGCTGAGCGTCAACGTCATACGCCCGCTTTGTAGAGGAACATCGGCTTCCATTTCGGTCCATGCCACCAGGTTCCATGTGGGTCTTTTTCCGGGTCAACTTGACTCATTTCACCGGTATGTGAAGTCAAGAAGGTCATGGATCTGGGTTGCATGGGTCTGGCCAAATTGCAGTGGCTTTGGGACGCTTTGTGGTTTCGTGATGCATGTTGTTCGTGATGTTCAGAAAAGGTGGTTTCTTACTCCTGGTCAGGCAGTATGGCTAAGAGGTTTAACTCCAGGTTTAATCGCCCAGGTTTGGTTGTGACTTACAAAGGTATCATTGAGAGGAGGCCTGCTTGGATCTCTTAGCTTCAATCCTCAAGGTCTTCCTGACTCCGCTGGCCACCCAACAGCCTTTGGGACTGCAAGGGCTGAGCGTTGCATAGCGTTGCCCATCGCCAGGTGCTCATGGGTGCCGCCGCTTGCCGCCTGGTGATGTTGGACCATCCACAGGCCAGACGACCGCGGCCATCGCTCCCGCCCCGTTCGGTCTCGGCCGCATGGAGGATTGGAGGGTCTTCCCAATAAAAACTACACAAAAAATCAAAAGAAACGAAGAGGCAGACATTGCACTTCATTTCCAAAAAAAGGGGGGATGTGAATTCGTCCTTTTATTGCGAATGGGCGCCTGCCCACAACGGAATCGACGGAATTGCCAATTCATGAAGGACACACTTGGGCCTTCAAGCATCTTCTACTCTGTGAAGCACATGAAGGCTGGTGCATTTCATCAACTTTCCCCTATACTTCTGAAACTTGAGGCGTCTATAAGAAGCTGCGGCAAAGGCATCGTTAGTGATGAATCACAACGATCGAACACACTCGGATCCACTCAGGTCAATCCCAATCGTCTGCGGCACACTTTTGTGAAAAAGAGCACTTGTTGACAGCCCGCAGGCCCGCCCCACCACCGCCTGCTAGCAAAGCTCCGTCCAACGTCACCCAACCCCCTCCTCGCTGAAGCAACCTGCCCCGGTCAGACCGAAGCACTACCTGGCGCGTGGGGAAACCTTTCACCAGGAAGAATTGAGTTGTAACAAGAAGCTACTAGTAACTAGATGTAACTAGTAGGTCTTTGAAGCTACTAGTAACAAGAAGCTACTAGGGGCTCCTGGCATCGCTACTAGGAGCATTCTTACTACTAGTAACAAGAAGCTGGGGAGGGAGCAGGCTTTAACGTAAACAGAAAAACGTCCGTCCGTGATCCGGGACTCGTCTCGAGATGCGATAGATACTACCCGTCTCGTGATGCGATGGCGATACGCCGGGTGTCACCAGGCACCGGTGAAATCCGGCCCCTCCACTGCGCCCTTGTTTATGATGGTTGCTGTCTTGGGCCTGCGAGCCACAGGTGGGAACGGTGCCGGGACGGGATGGATGAGACGGTGGGACGGGGGGAAAACCTGCGTCATGCTGCGGCTCAAACCTGGTGGAAACGGACCGGACCTTGGAGGCATCGCACAGCGCAGCGCTTATTCTGTACCCCTTACCTGATCAGGTGGGTATAGGTTGGGGGGTCATGGGAGCAAAATGGCACATGAAGGAAGCTCTGGATGTGAGGTTCGCCAAGAAAAACACTGGACTTTCGACTTTCTGGATCGAGAAGGTGTTTGGGGTCCTCTCGAGTGACATCTGACAACAGACGCCAACTGCAGAAAGTAAATTCCAAATCCAGTCCACGAGTTGGATATGTTGGATGTTGTCCGAGTTCTTCCCCTTACCACGAAAGCTAGCACCAGCTAGCTAGAGTTGTTCTTGATAAGTAGCAAGTGAGGGGCTGGAATCCTCGAGAGTGCCGCATCGGGTGAAAACTTCATATGTAGGTGGGCCTCCCACCGTGGGCCCCCCCGCCCGCAGGTTCAACTCCTCCCTGGGACGTCTTTGGAACGTGTGTATTTCCGCTGGCATGGGGCCGACTGTCACCCGCTTCAACCCTGCCCTGCTAGCTTTCGTCACCAACCCTCGGCCTCAAGTAGTACATATGGCCATATATGGCACGTGTTTCTGGAGGGGGTTCGCGAGCCGAAAGAGATTTCCCATTTAAATCCATTTCAAGGTTTCGATCGTTGGTAGATTGGTCCATCATCAGATTCAGATGTGAGATCTACGCAAAGTGTGTTCTGGTACTTGTCAGTTGGGTCAACCGTGTCTCTTCGGTTTGGCGATCCCACCCAGTAGACTCAGCTTGCTCAGGTTCGAGGTTTGGGGGCATCCCTCGGCAGGTTTTGCTTCACTCAGAAAACATCCACAGATTTGGAGTGTATTGTAGATTTGGAGTATGTTATTAAAAACAAAGATATTGTAGATTTGGAGTGAGTGTGTTTTCTTTCGGCAGACTGGTGCTATGGTTCTTTCCGACAGCATGGTAGATTGCTTGGGTGTGTTCTGAATAGGTCAGGTATATTTCTGCACTTATTAGACCAATTGCTCCACCTTGACTGGATCCCGCGATTTGCTGAAGCGGCGATGGCATTTGTTTCGTCCAGCCTACCTGGCCTACCCCCTCTCGGGCCTCTGGTCTTTTTTAGCGTTGAACTCTGGGGGAGCTCGGTGATTCTTGTATGCGTGAAGGGTGTTTTCATATGTTGTTTATCAATATCAATGGAAATCCTTGTCCACATTGTGCATTTTCTTGACTCTGGGCCTCTGGAGTCTATTCCTTTCAGCCATGAATACGCCTGATCTCGCTTTCGAGCTGCTCTTCTGGCTTGGACAGTTGAAGTGATCAACACTCTTGTTACTTGTTGCAAAGAAGCACTTGAGCAGACAGTTGGAAGAAGATCAACACACACACACACATGTAGATGATTAGATGAAACCTAGATTTTCTAGAACAAAGGAAGACCTCCCCACACGGCCCCTGGTGGTTGGAAAAGTGGATGAGCACTCAAAAGGGTGGTCCCCTGCCAAGCAAGGGTCGGGCAACACCGGGTTTAGACGCTTGGTGCAGTGACCTGGCTGTGATGCGTCAAGAGTGAGAAGCAAAATCAATGCTTCATGTGCCAGACAGTTCAATGCCAGACAGTTACCAGTTCTTCACCAGAGCTGGCACCCAGTACCCGCCGGTACCTGCCGGTACCCACGGCTGCAATGCCCCCGGTGGCGTACAAACGCGGATGGGTGGTGACGGCCTTAGAAACACTCCCTTTGTTCATATGATTCATATGCCGTCTGGTTATTGCCTTGTTTAAGTTTGGAGTGCGTTTCCCGGTTGTTTGAAGGCTATCTTTAGATGTTCAAGATCACCTCTCTTCAGACTGATCCAGGGCATACATCGCGATCAGGATCCCCAAATATGGCGATGCCAGAATGTCCAATTTGCTCCTTAGATGTCAATACAAAGTCCGATCTCATCATGTTGCGTGGGATCGTGACCAATGGGACACATGGGACTCCCCAGTCCCGGAAAGCCGGACGGCGACAATGAACGGTACCGTTCATGGACAAGGAGCTACACAACACCCGGTACACGGGGCAGACCTTGGACCTTGTATACGTTACATGGACGTCGTTGGTCATTGGTCGTGGGTCGAAAAACATCGTGCAACACCACAGCATGTTAGGCTGAGGCTTTAGCTGCCGATGCAAAATACTGCATCACTCACGGATACTGTATGTCATCTTGTCCTGGGTTCGAGCAACTAATAGGACGTTCATCTCAAGGTCTGATTTCTGTCCTTGAAAAGTAGTCATTTGAGGTCTCTACTCTTCTAACACCCTTGAGGCTTCAGCGCCGGAAGACCTTCTCAAAGATGCGCTCAAGACCGCGGAGGCTGCGTGTGAGGACCACGACGGGGGGGGCAGGAGTCGCACTGAGGACTTCCTTACCAGAGGTCTGTGAATATGTTTGGAAGATCTCACAGTGACGCCAGGTTAAGAAGATGACTTGAATCCCAAAGGAATTGACCCCTGGCAATCCATGCAATTTTGCTATGGGATTTCACTCTCTGGTCTTCCAACAACCTCCAGATGAAGTCCACCAGTCCTACCGTCGGCCTCACCTTGTATCACCGGTGCTATCCTGGGCGGGGCCGCGGCGACCGCGGCTACCGCAGCGTTTGGGGCGAGCTCATGGCGAGCTCCTCACTGTTGTGCCACCAGCTCCAAAAGCGCCATAACCTATGGACCCCCTCAGCAGTTTTCTTTCGGAAGAAAACACATGCTGTAGCTCCCAGGAGTTCGCTCTTGAAGCCCACCCTTCGTTCGCCATTCGCTTGGTCTGGAGGAAGCGAGTGATCCGCAAGATTTGCTCGAGGTGGCGCGACCTGAGGAGGTGCTTCTGCGACGTCAACCGGGTTTGTTGGGGGTAGGATGGTGATCATGCAACACCTGAAACCGTTGAGAAGACCAAGTGTTTCTGCACCAAAACCCTGAGACTTTCCGGAAACAGGTTGACCTTGCCTTCACCGTGGGAAAGACGAAGACTTAGGCCATTGTCCATGCGAAGCTGAAACCGCCGTCGTGAGGTCTTTGGGCGAAGGGAGACGAAGCTGCGGGGTTGGGGATTCATTCCATGTATGAGAAATGCTTGAACTGCTCGAGAAAGGTTGCGACACCCGACACATCTCAAGAGAGGCCGTGCAAGGAAGCTTGCTAGGCCACTCTAGAGGCTCACACCGAGCTCCCAGAAGGTATGAAAGGACAAAAAGCGCCTGGGTAGACGGGTAGATCACTGGCGTGGCTTCTATGCCCTCCCCCACAATTCCCTTCCAGGGCCACGAAATCTGTACAAGCAGCAGTCGAGCCTCGGCAACCACCAACTCTGACACTAAAACACACCCCAAATGGCCCAAATGTTGTAAATACGAACCGAACATAATAATAGAATAGACTGTGCGCGCCCCACAGAGAACTGGACAAAAGCTCCAAATCACTGACAGAAGTGACATTCGTTCTCCGGGGGCGCAGAAGATCTCCTTGGAACTCCACAGAAGCAATCTGCATGTAGTGTG